ATTCCCTATTAAAGCATGTCCGAAGACGTGTCCCAAACCTTTCGGTGTTGTGTCTGCACACTGTCTAATATACATATGCAGGATTTAGCTAGGGGGTTTTATATTGTATATGTAAAGGGCTAGCTAAATATACCCTAAAGGTGTCGGGCTCATATATATATATATGTATATCTATATATATATATATACATATATATATATATGTATATATACATATATATATATATAGACATATGTATATATTTATATTATATACATAAGAATATATGTTTGTGTGTGTGGCTGTTAGGGTTTACGTGGAAGCATTAGCATACAGGAGTTTGTGGGCTTGAGGGCTCCCAGGCTTCATAAAACGGCTGGCCTTTGCTTCGGGTAGCTTTTTTGGGCTTGTTTTCAGGTCCCTGGCTTTTTAGGGTTTAGGGTTTAGGGAGGTGAAGAGCTCGGAGAGTGAACTTCAAGCTTCGGGTGGAATAGATGAACTGGTGCAGCTTGTGCTGTGTCCATGCTTGGGCTTGGGGGTTAGAGTTCAGCTCCTCACTCCAGGGTTGAGGCTGCAGGACTGAGGAGGGTGGAGTCGATCCGCAAGTTTGGATGACCTCAGCTGAGGACAACACTTACAAGGAGGCCTGCGTTCCGGGGTATGTTTCCCGGTGAGGGGCCTCAAAGCCTGCACCCCGAAGCCTGTAGTAACTCCTGAGTGCAGATCTGAGGCTTATGAGGGAGGTTGGGGTCTCCAGCATTGTGTGGACTTCAGCCTTTGGCCTCAGCCTTTGGCCAGCTACTTGAGGACTTGGTGGCTTTAGCTTGTTTGTAGGTTGCAGCTCCGAAACACTCTGCCACTCTGAGTAGCGCTGCGGCTGCGCATACTTCACCCCCGCCCAAGAAGTATGAAAAAGCAAGACTAGATCACAACTCTGATATCGAGGTGAACAAGAAGAACTTGCAATATGATGAGAGGTATAATAATTACATAGTGCTGGCAATACCTGCAATCAGCATGGTCGGCACAACAAAGCTGTATGCGTGTATTTATTACACACGCACGCACTGGGATGCAGGGATAGATGTATATGCAACACGGCAACATCACATGTTAGAGCAAAGTGCAGTTGGAGTCACGCGTGAGCATTGCAACTGCCAAAGCCCGGAACGCTGGGGTGGGCTTTAGAGGTTTATGGCCTTTCAGGTCGCTCATTATAGAGCCACAACCACCCTACCCACACAAGCTTCAGAACAGATTAACCCTTGCTCTTGAGAAATCCCATATGGCTACTAGGATTACTGGCCAGACACTCCGAGTTTTCTGGAGCACTCTTGGTCCAGACGGGGGTTCTTCAAAGTACCCGGCTTGGCTTAGGGCTTAGTGTCCCTTTTATCAGGGATGCTACGATTCAGCGTTGATTTAGGGGACCCTCTGTCTGAAACTCGTGTTTGCGTGTACTGCAACAAAGACGGCACAACATGGCCCCTCCGGAAGCTTCGGGTTGAGCTTCCGCTAAAAAAATCGAGGGCTTCTGAAAGACCCAAGAAGCCTTGGATCCGAACCCCGTTCTGGACATGCCCGGATGCAGGCTTGGCACCTCTTATACCGCCCTGAGGTTCACCCTTCCCAAAGCCTCAAACAAAGGCACCCCCGAAAAGCCCGTCAAACCCCCCAATAACCAACAAAGCAAAAAGAAGCGCTCAGAGTTTCCGGGTCGTCGGAGGTGACCTTCAGCGCCAAGCCCCTGGGCCTGGACTTCAGCAAGTCGGTTCCGATGACGGTGACTTGGACTGAGAGCTCAAGACAGCAAGAAGAACAAAAGCGGCACCGGTATGGGGCTGTTAGAGCAACACGGCGGCGTGGCCCAAACTCAAGCGAAACGCGCGTTTTGCATGGGCGAGGAGCTTTCGCAGGTGCCGAAATCACTAGAAGCTCATGCCATGTTTTTTGCAAAAATGCATGTTCGCTCGGTGCTTGTTCGACTTGTTAGTCGTTTTCGGCGGGTCTTGAAAATATAATAAAGTTTCAACAGACATCCTTACCGCAAGTGACGCCAAAATTGTCATCTTAAACCGGATGCCATTAAGCCCCCGACCCCCCGTGCCCCGGTCGACCGGTTGAAAATGTCTCTGAACGCACGGCCCGGACCGCCTCTTAAAACTAGTAGTGAGTGGCATATCATCATCATCATCATCGTCATCATCGAATAGCTTATCGCAAGGTGACAGTAACAGCAACATGCGATGTGGAATAGCATGGCAACCTTCAAAATCGTTTCAGTCGTACGGACGACGTCAATACAACGCAGAATCAGCACCATGAAGGCCAGTTCGATAATCGCTGCCATACTGCTGGATCAGACCATTCGTCATCGTCGTAGTCGTGGTGGTCGTGGTAGTGGTAGTGGTAGTACTGGTTCTTGTAGTAGTAGTTCTTGTTGCTGCAGACTTCAGTGGAGGAAGGGGAGGCAGAGAGAAGAGTCAGGGTCTCCAATTTGGAAGTCGCAGGTGATGTTTAATAAGCCCCTTCGAGTGCGTCACTAGTCCTGCTGCTTGATCTGGCTTGCTTGCAAAGCACCAGGATGCCACACAAGGACGAAAAAATCGATTTCATTTTGCTTGCGAATCTCAAAGTCTCACAATGATAAGGTCGTTGAATACAGCCCGGGATAAGCAACGAGCTTCGACTGTTACTTGACGTCATGCACGGGATCCCAGAGCAAATGAGGTCAAAGCTGTGAAGAAGGCTCATCTTGTCGGGAAGGGGATTTGAGGAGTTTGCCTTTTGGTGAGTGGAGTACATTAGGGTCTGAGGCATGACACTGTTCAGAAACGGTCCTCCCACTAGGGGCGCAAGGTTCTATAAGCATTACGATGTTTACGGGGTCGGTGTTCGGATGTGCGTAGTACCAGAACCGCACAGGTTGCACGGACCTGACAACGGCGTACGCAGAGCTTGTCGATTTTGGTCTTCTCTACCGTCAGATCCTGTCATTTCCGATCGACCTTCAGATTTAGACTGTTGCCGGCTGGAGTACGTACCTTTTTCAACCACATAGAAGACCAGAAGTTTCCAACACCTAGCAAGCACCCTCGACGAGGATCACACTAATCTCCTACATACAGGCCCCAAGAAGTAAACGTAAAACTCGTGGAGTCCTAAGTAGCCCTTCCATGACCTCCGCTTCCAGGATTCTGTGGCTGAATCGCAGGCGGTTCAGCCGAAGTGGGTCATCACGCATGCCCTCATCTCAGTGAATCTTACCTCGTCTTGTGCTGTCTCCAGGGAGCTAGGAGCAGAGCTGCTGGTGGCGGTGGTGGCGGTGTGGCGGTGGTGGTGGTCGCCGTCGTCAGCGTAGTAGCGGTAGTGGTAGTGGAAGGGTAGTGGCAGTGGTAGTGGTAGTGGTAGTGGTAGTAGTAGCAGTGGTAGCAGAAGTGGCAGCAGCAGCAGCAGTAGCAGTAGTGGAAGGAGCAGCGTTCACTGGAAATTGCTCACGGGAGGGGTTGGCAGGGCAGTCCGACCAGATGCGAATTCTCCAAAACCTGAGGCAGTTGAAGTAATCGCTTTGTGCCTTCACCCCCGTGGCTTTACAGAGAGTTGCAGCGAAGGACTGCTGTTGGATCTATAGCTATGCACGCAAGGCAAGCCTTTAATTCCTGGGTTCGTTTGGTTTGATGTTCTGCGCATCCCGGCACAACGCAAGCGGGAGGCAAAGTTGCGCAAGCCATCACACTTTCAGCAGGCGTTCTTGGTCGCAGGCTAGAGCTGGACTTGAGTTGGCAGACGAAATCGGCCAGTTGAGTCATTAGCTTCTCCGCACCAACACGGGCTTCTGAACAATACCTTGCCCGAGCGATTTGTTCTCAGACCTCTAGCAAGACGCACAATGACTCAACGACACGCAAGAGTAAGCCAGAGTCTGGTTGCTAGCCTTCCGAGCTGCACATCCTGCAGTACTCGACTCAACAAGGAAAGAAAGTCAAATCAGCGTATACAAAATCTGACCTCGGGTGACGGGGTAGAATGCTTCGCCAGAGGTCAAGCCTAATTAAGTCAAGTAAGCCTTAACTTACACACTCAGCGGATTCAGATCGTTGCAGCCACCACAAACTTGAAGCCAATATAGAAGCCTACAAAATTACCAATATACTTCCCCAGGGCTCTTTATTATAATTGTACTATAGTGGAGCCCAAAACCCCATTCTAAGTTTAGTCAGGCCCCCCAAAATTATAAAGCGATGAAGCCGGCTCAGCCCAAGGTCGGCGGGAACGCCTTGCAGTCAGAGCTGAAGGAAGCCCCTCGGCTTAGGTTTCGGGTTTAGGGTTTAGGGTTTAGGGGTTTAGGGGTTTAGGGTTTACGAAGAAGTGAGACCATAGAAGCCTGTAACAGGTTCCTTGTGAGAGTTATGGCATAATCTGCCCCAGAAGAAAGGGCTCCTGCGTTCAACTATACTAGAAATCTACCCTGAAGTTTTATTCTAATCATCACGGCCCCCATATTGCCAAAAGCCGCAGCAGACTTGAAATCCTAACCCCCGAGGCCCATAAATGGGGACTGCTGCTGGAAGTCGGAACCTTCAAGCAAGGATCAGTTCGGGCCAAGGTCTCCTGCTATTCCTTGTCAAGATTTGCCTAACTGCGGGCAGTTGGCAAAGAACTGGGCTGATCCTGTTCTCCTTCCAAGCTGCTCTTCGCACACAGCTACAAATCAAAAGGTTCGAAGTTCCTAGACTTGCACGCTTGCCTGGTACATCTCAGAATGCAACTCGTTGACTTGTTGTTGTTCATCTCGTAATTTCCTTGATACCCACACTCGAACATCATCGAATCAATACGCGGCCAAACGCCAAGAGTAAGTTGAACCCCTGAGCAGAACTCTCGAGAAAAAACGTACTCACCACAATCATATTCTTCGAGATGCCCTTCTCCTTATACACTCTATACTATATACTATATACCATAAACTAAGTATTATACAAGATATAACAGATATCATATATTATATATCATCGCTGGCGGCGTCTTTCTGAGGCCATGGCCCAGATTCTTCAGGCCGTGAAGGCTCGATGAGCGAAAGCTTCTGAGCTTCGGGCACAAGGATTCAGAGCCTTCCTTTGGAGGTCAGGGGCTGTTTAGGGGTTTAGGGTTTAGGGGCTTAGGGGTTTAGGAGTTTAGGGGTTTAGGGTTTAAGGGTTTAGGGTTTAGGGGCTGTGTGAACTTCATGAGACTTCGGGGCAGACTTTAGTTTTTTGTCTTTCTCATAAGGGCTCTGCAAATCTAACAAGATCATATGTTGTTACTATCCATGATGATAGTCAGTGTCATTGTCATTATCGTTAGTCCGCTAGTCTTATCAGTAACATGACTATCACTATTGTTAGTCGTGGGTTCTTACAGTCGTAGCATGATTATTGCCTTTATGATTGCTGAAGTTATTCAGAGTACGACTGCTGATATTTCAGTCACAAGTGTTATTTCTATCTTTATTGGTTTGGTCCTTCATCTTCGGAAGTCTTCCAAATCTTGAGCCCAAACCCCAACCCCCAAACATGCGCAGTGGTAAGGACCCTGGGCATGGCTGTTGCCGTGCATTTTGGGTTGAAGCTTTGAGATCAAGGCTTCCGGCTTTCGGGCAAAAGAATGCCATACTGGAAAAAAACGATGAGCACCATCATGGTACTGTTATGCTGAAGCCAAGATGGTTTCTGAAAGGTGGTACGTTTCTCTGGGACCATAAGACTCATCAATACTCCTGGTACATCCTAAATAACTAAACTCCGAAGTCCCAAACCCGGGCTTTTCAGCCGGCAGATTTGCAACCGACACATCAGTCGATCCAATTCACCCAGAAGGTTAGGCTCCCAAAGACGGAACGGGTCTAAACCTGTGGTTTGGGACTTCATGGTGTCCTTGCAGTCATGACGATCTGAGTGATATCACGAGTGCCATGACACGCCTCGGACTCCTCCGTCAAAGGGGCCGGGACGGGATAGGCCTTACATGCTATCATTGGCAGATAATCCTAAAGACTTTACGGTCCTCGCATGATCGTCACATACATGGTATACCCCAGCATCCCCCGAACTCTCATGGTGATTGTATTACGTGCCCCCACAATCTCCCTGCACCCCACTTTGTCGAGCGACCAGCCAGGATCTTCCGATGAAGTGAGCTCGAACCACGAGCCTTACCGCAGTTTCAAGCACCCGGCAAATGGAATTCCTCATTCCGATCACAGGGCCTCCAGCCCTATTTCGAGGAATTACCAGAGATGCGAGGCTGTTGGAGACTCCACGCATCAGATACTTAGACTTTACAACAAGGCTGTGCGAACGCAGTCTTTCATCCACATGTACACAGGCATTGCCTTGCATTGACGTACATACTCGGCTCTACGACGACGTCACGCATGACCACGGGTCAGAGGCATGTGCTATCACGGGAAAAGGCCTTGGGGTGAGGGTGTAGGGACCCAAGCTACTCCACAGTAAGGCCTAGCTGGACCCTAAATGACGAACCCACCAAACCTCCAATCAATCCTCCCTGGGCGCCCATCATCATGAACTTAACGCTTCACACAGCTGCTGAACCGGAAACCCTCAATCCTACTGGTTTCGGCTGGAACATCATGTTATGCTTGCGGCGGTCCTCGGAGGCTTTCGTGATCAATGGATATGGACGTGTAGAAAATTAGCCGGTAAGAATCCTTCATCACCCTGATGGAGGGCGTGGCTCCAGAGTGCCGGGCACAGGCTGCGGAGCCACAGCCTTGAAGCCCAT